CACAATGAGGATGCACCAGGTGATCAGTGTCTTACCTGGGCATATCAAGTACAGGGACATCAGTTGTTTCTGTTAGAGGCAGGATGGTCCACTGGATTGTGCCTGCCAGTAGTTACTCTGAATGGAGTTCCTGTGACCCCCCCAAAGCAGAATGAAGAGACCCCATGGCGACCAGCGGCAGTTGACAGCACACACATTGGAGGGTGGTGCGTCATTAAGTATGACGATGATGTGTACCCTGGCATCATCATGGACGTGGAGGAGGATAGCATTCAAGTGAAGTGCATGCATAGAAACGGAGTAAACAAATACTTCTGGCCAAGACCACATGAAGATGTCAGCTGGTATGCAGAGGAACAACTTCTCTGTCTTATACCAGAGCCAAAGGCACTCAACAAGCGCTCAGTCCAACTTGAGAAGCTTACATAGAAGTACCTAGAAAATAACTTTATGTAAACAAAAAATGTACTTGAAGTTATGTACGATGATCAGAGCTCTGATCTTTGTTGGCTGTCTTGGTTAAGGTGTTCAGGCTACCAAACCCAGTGGTGTTCCACGAGCCACTGGTGGTGGCAAAAAACGAGCATGATTATAGTTGCCCTCAGCAAAGTGCCTCATAAAGCCTTTGCCTACCTGTTTGAGCCCTCAAAGTTTGGGTGTTGGCCTTTCTTTTTCTGTGATTTTTTGTATTAGAAATTCTGCTGAATAAATGAATTATGAATTACTGTCTTCTTCATTAGCTGCCATTTTTCTCAGTCTCCAACGTAGGGCAATAGCCTACGTGCCCCACAGCTGGAAAAAATTATGACATCACACAGACTTGCTAACAGGTCCTAGGGGTGTACCAAAGACCACAAATCCAATTCTGATATATTTTTTTAATTCTGTTAATATTTGTTGCCACTCTAAAGTACACATTCTATAAGAAAACCCTGCAACCACAGACACAGCAGACCTTATGACCTTATGAAGAAGCAAAGGCAGAGACAGATACACAAAGTTGCAGCTCCAGCTCCAAATAGTGGGTTTATCAAACCAAAACGATTTGATATATTCAAACAATTTTAATAATTTAATATAAAAGATTGTTTTAACAACATAATTAATACTATGTAATATTTTAACCAAAAATTACACTTTAAAATGATAGGTCCTGGAGAGAAGGTCCTGAAGGCCCTGGCGGACTTCCACTGGTGTCCACCCTGTTAGACGTCTGTCCACCCTGTTATGTTGGTATTTTTCTAGCATAGTTTAATGAAAATATCAAGTGTATATTTGTACTTTTATAAAGAAATGAGAGAGGTTGATTATATATTCTAGAAACTTTTAGTAATTCTTATTGTATTTAAGTTTTCTCATGAAAAACAGTGGAAAAATATGCCACGTTGTCATAATCTACACTTGTGTTTCTCAATATATACTACTTAAAACTAATTAGGTATGAAATATATATCTAATTAGAGTTAGGGACATACAACTCTTGTTAAAAAGTCATTTTAATTGTAAAAATGCACTGAAAACTCATTTAAGCAGTTATGTGTATGTCCTTAACAGGGTGGACATATCCCGGGCGTCACGTGTTGTTAATATATCTATATATATAAAGATTTAGGTGCCTGAGCTTGACCAAAATGTTTTTTAGCTAATTAGATATGTCCTTTATAGAATAGAACATTAAAAAGTAGGTCAATCAAGTATTTATTTCACCCAACTTATGAAGTCCAAATGGCACCCTATAAAAACACATTTCAATGTACCTTCTTGTTATTAGTGATGTGATGGATTGAAACTAACTAAAACACAACAAACAAACACACACCTCAACATGATGAGCTAAACCAATTGTGATCTTTGTTCATGAGATCCAGGTAAGTGTCATATCAGAACAGGAATAACAGTCCAAGGCCATGCTAGTTGCTCTATGAGGCTTTACTGAGTCACAGCAGTGCTTAATGCTAACGTAAGCATGCTAACATATAACAGCATGTTTGAACTGTACCAGATTCACAATAATGTAATATTCTGAATAATAGTGGAAAGTTAATGTGCATGCAAATGTAGTCAAGATAGGGTAGAGGAAAAACAAGTGACATTAGGTAACGAAGGATAAATGTACAGATAAGAAAAGACGAACGTGGCTAAATAAATAAAGTCAGAAGGCCTTTTCAGCAGAACCTGATTATTGCTTATTCCTGTTATCAGAAGATAGCTGCAGAACAGTCAGATGTTCAAACATCCATTTGTGCTCTCTTTGTTTTAGTTTTGCAAGTAAAAGGCAAAAGCTGGGTCAGTAGAGAGGCGTGATGGGGGCTGATATAGCCTCTATGATAACAAGACTTCCTACTGACACTGTCTATGAGCAGAATTCATGCTATTCTAATGGAAGGAGGCCTGCTTTAAAGTCTGACCTAAAGTTGTTTAATGTAAGCTTTCAGCACGTTACATTGTACCTGATTTCAAGAAAAAATAAGTGAAACCTAAAAACCCTACCAATAGATTTATTTTTGATGGAAATAGGATGACAGTGGGGCAACATCTATTCATGAACATTCAAGGTTTTTATTTTATTTTAATTTAAAACCAGAAAAAAGTTCATAAAGAGAAAATGTGTGTATGTTTCAGTAGGTTACACATATCTCTATGACCTACAAACTCTAATCAGATGACAGGGACGGTGCCCTCTTACAGTTTAACAGCTGACAGGCCAACACATGTAACCCATTGATTCGTTTCTAATCAACACCATTAGGAAATGGAGATAATTGGTATTTAGAAAGAAAACAAAGTACTACTTTTATAGGTAGATCAGATCACAGCTGAAACCTATATCCATTGAAGCAATCTGATTGAAGCAATCAGTGGATATAGAGTTCCAATGTTGTGTGGCCATCAATAATAACAGGGGGGTCAACAACCTGATGATATGTAAAAGGTTAATTAATCACCAAAAACAGTACAATCTATCCTGATAGGACAAGGAATGTAGCAAGTTAATAGACAATCAATCCAGTAGTTGTGAAACAAATATCAACCTCATGGGCTCCAGACGACAAGGCTCTTCTCATACATGTTTGTTGCACCACTTTAGTAGGTATAATTGAACCAAAAACACAATATTTTCCTACACTAAACAAAGCTGTTTCCTGTGAAGGTGGACGTTTATTTTGAAAAGACTACATGAAACCAAATCGTGAGCCACATTAAAGGGATAACAACCTAGGCAAAATGTGTTTGCATCCATTTAGGTTCTGCCAGACCCACTTACGTTTTAAAAGCTTGACTTCCTTACCACAACTTTAACTTTATATTGGGATGTAAAATGGCACAAGCATTATGCAAATCTGCTACTGGCTTTAGATTTCTTTCTTTCTGTCTCTCTCTGACCTGGCCCAACCACATCCACCATGTTGTTCTGCTGCAGCTGGACACAGTGCTAGTCCAACACACACACGCACACACACACACACACACACACACACACACACACACACACACACACACACACACACACACACACACACACACACACACACACACACACACACACACACACACAATGTCTGTCACATTCTTGACTCAGTGTGGGTTCTCTGGAGTCGTAGGGAAGCAACGTGGGGTTGAAATCCAGCGTGGTGGTAGGTGATTATATAACTTAATTGCTTGGATTGTTTCTTTCTTTTTCTTTGAAGTGAAGGATTGTTCTTTTGTACTTCGTGGCCTCGTGTTGTGAGAGTTACTCGTGCCAAACATCCACACATCCTGACATAACAGCAAGGCTCCTGGGCGACAGAGCTGACGGACAAACTGGCTAGCACATAACAGTTCTTTTGAATATTTAAGATGTTATGAATAACACAAATACATGTGTCGCAGAAGAGCTCTTTGGTAACATAAACACACAGCTGTCACCACTTTTGTATTGTTTTAAAGTTGTGAGCATTTACGAAGCATCACTGGACCAAATCATATTATACAAATGAAAGAGATTATCATGAAAGTGAGTGATAAAATAATATTTAAACCTTTCTCAAATTACATCTGTATTTTCCAATCCAAGAAGATGGAAATACACATACTTGCTTCCTGTTTTGGTAAAAAAAAGGAAAATTCCCTTGCTCATCACGTGCTATTTTGTGTAAGTAACATATACCATATACCAATATAACTGGTATTTAAATTCTGTATTTATTATATACATATTTAATTTTGCAGATGGCATTTCCTGCTTCTATCTTTGTATGAATTGTAAAAAAGAGGCTCAACTTGATAAACAGTTGAACAAATCAATTGAGCAACCGACAACATTTTCTTTTCGACAAGAGTGTGTTTTCTTTGGAAAGATTAGTGTTCAAATGTAGCGTTAATACACAAAATACAACTGGGGCCAATGTTGACCACATTGTGAAAGAGCATTTTGAAGCTGGAATCTGGGTTCACTGCTTCACACAATCTTGGTGTGTTATACTTAACACAGAAAATCTATTCCAAGTCAAGCTTCTCAGGCATTTTTTAACCACCAGCTCACTAAACATCAGCCTGTCTACTTGGAAAATCCTCACCTAATCTGAAAGTTTGACACAACAGACAAACAAAATGCTGCAAGACATTTAATCAGAAGTTGTATGATACCAGTGTAGTTAAGAAGCAAAATGCAACAAGAAGAAGTCCGATAATATAAACACAATTTAGCAAGGAAACATTAGGAACACATTCAACTAAATAGGGAATGCTTGTACTATTGGATTTGTGCAGATTAAGATAATCCTTTTGTCTCAAATGCAATATAATTTGTCTTTCATAGACAAACATGAGCCTCTTCAGCGGCAGTCACAGAAAGCAGTTGAACTGAGTATCAGTTCTCTGCCGCTCTGCTTTAAGCAGCACACTGATCTACATCTCATCAACATGTCGCGACATCTCCCATCCACACACACTGCTCAGCTGATGATCAAGCATCCATCAAAACAGTGTGCCTTTTGATTGTCCCACACACACCCTCCACACACTGAAATCCCATCAGCACAGTGAAGCCGTTAGCAGGACGGACATCAACAGATTCAGTGGATGTTTTCTTTACCTCTCTATCGGATGTTTTAGGTATTTATGAGGGTTTTTTACGTATTTAATAATGACTAATTAATTAACTTTTTTGTTAATGTTTTTTTTGTTTTAATAAATAATAATAGTAATACATACATTAATCACATATAATAATATTTGTAAGACTTTTGAGTACCACTAACCAATGTTGGCATTTGTATCTCCGAGCAGATGTTTCTTCATGCAAGTCATCATAGGTGGATTAAAAAGAAAAGGCATTTTACTCATATACTTTTTTGAGGTACTTGTACATGAGTGTATCAATGTTATGCAACTTCTTATTTCTACTCCACTACATTTCAGAGGAAAATAGTGAACCATTTTCTCCTCTAGATTTTTTAAAAAACGTTCAGGTACTACTTACATGTAAAAAAACATACCATAATACTTAAATACAGATCTAACAATCGCAGTAAACTAGTAGTTAAAAAAGGCATCACATAGACGAAATAAACATTAAAATGATCACATGTATTAGTGATAAACTTTGATTAGTATTTGAAAGTAGCCATTCTAGAAAAAAAATAAAACGTTGATACTTTGTGTATATTTAGCTGATAATATTTAATATTTTAATATCTAATATTTTTTACTTATGTATGAATTAAGAACATTTACTTGTACTGGAGTATTTTTGGACTGGTATTTCTACGTGTACTTAAGTAAAGGATACGAGTACTCCTTACATCTCTGATCTAATTTAGGTCAATATTACTGAATCAGTTATGTATGTTGCGTTTTTAATGTTCAACCATTGCTTCACATTCCCCTACCAAAGTGACCAGTAGTTTAATTAGTTAAACACGTCGTAGTTTATCAGTAATCTCCCCCTTAATTGTAGTGTGCTCTTTTGAAACATGTTCTGGTTGTAATAACCTTTACATTGAATTGTACTTGTACTCACGCTGGTGGGGTGGATGAGCGGTAGTGGCAGCAGGAACAACGGGATGAACACAACGACGATCAGCTTCCTCGCTGCCCACAGCTTCCTGAACACATCCATCCTGGCTGCGGCCTCCAGCCTCATGGAGGACCAGAGACTCTGGGTCGGACCGGCCGGCACTCAGCACCACCGGGTGTGAAAGTCACTAATCTGTTTACGGGAAAGCAGCATCGACCGTGGGGAGCCGGAGGAGGAAGCACTCTTTGGGGCGCGTAAAGTTGTCTTTTGGCTGTGCGCCTTTACACACAGACCATGAACGGTGCCCGGATCTGAGTGTGGGGGTGAGTGGTCCCAAATCTCCACTGTGTCTGACAGGCCCCTCTCCTCCCCCTCCTCCGTGTGCTCGATGAGTGCAAGGCGTCAGGTGAGGGGGGTTGCATAGGTATGCTAATTAATCAGCTTTGGCCCACCCTCTCTGTATGAGTATCAACCAATCAGGGGTGAGAAAAGTTTGCACAATGGTGCGTGCGTATGTGTGTATTCTTAGGTCTTTACAGAAAAACGGGGAAACTGTGAATTGGAACATAATAGAATATACTAGAGCTACATATATAACAAATGCAGGATTTATTGTGAGATATACATTATTACAAAGAGGCACAAGAAAGCACAGCAGATACAATGACGATTTCGATCACACGTGCTACAAAGTGTTTCATTGTGACTGTGTGACCAATCATATCGATACTTTTTGGTTGCATGAATACATACATAGATCATTTTAAATCACATAATCCTATCCCAATGAAACAAACAGAGCAGAACAGTCACACACTGCCCTCTGCAGGATTCACTCGGTAGTGCATGAGTTGATTGATTGATTGATTGATTGATTGAAAACTTTATTAACAGCTTGTATATTGGGTACAGTACAGTACAGCTCAAAACATACAATTGTTAAGGGGATGCAGACCAGAGAAAGACTTTCGTCTTGTTTACATCAGGGTCCCCCATTTCCAATTCATCATGTCATTTAAGACATATTTGACATATTTGACATACAGATGGCTTATTTACAATTTACATACAGGTGGTTTTTTACATACAGATTGCTTATTTACAATTTTCATTTTAGATTTCGTTCTATGAGTATGGAGGAGAGCTTCTCATAATATCATTTTAACCTTCATTTCATAGTTTAATTCATACTGTTCATATATCTGTTTCAAGAGAACAGCAGCTTGATTACATTTATTCACTGTAAATAAATGTTCTCTATGTAGTCAACACCAGCACATTCAGAGCAAGAAGCAGCAATGAGACACAACAATGGGTCTATACCTTTAGAGCAGTGTTTCTTAAACTTTTTCATACCAAGGACCACTTAACAATGAAAAAACACTTGCGGACCACCTAACTCCACAAATATCCAAAATCACATCATTTTTCTAGAACAGATTACAAATCACCTGAAAATTATACAAATAAGTGGCAACATGTGTGATGAAGGTGTTGCGCTGGGCTATATCATGCAATCGAAAGTGAAACATAAGCTCGCTCCATTGCGGAGATATTCCCACGAGAGTGCAGAAAACTTAAATGTATTTATTTATTTCAAATGTGAAATGTTACCAATATACTCACGGACCACTAGGGGGCGCTCACGGACCACCAGTGGTCCGCGGACCACACTTTGAGAAGAGGAAGAGGAGAGGTTACAAAACACATTGAGCATGGTGTGCTACATTGTCAAAACCATGCACTAGGTGTCACATGACAAAATGCTGTGTGCAACATTTAAACTCACCAAAAGCTTTGCCTCCATTGTGTAATGAGGATTCATTGTTAACTTCCCGCCAGCAAACAACAAACACCTTTGCTGCCTCGTAAAAGAAACCGGGACATTTTCAGGGATTCACCACTAAATCCACTGTAATGTGTCAAAATAAGAGACTTATTACAATTATCATGACAACTTAAAGTGGACCTATCATGCTATATTTGAAACATATATTGTAGGGCCATACCTATATAAAACATGTCTGTGAAGTTTTTTTTTTCAAAATACCAAACAGATCCTGCATTTTAGCCATGCCTCATTTCGCTCTATTTGCTCTTTTCCAGCCCTGTTTTTGCAAGGGCTGATTCTGAGAAGTCTTCTTCGCTGCTTTTGTGGCAGACTACAGCGCCACTTACAGGCCTGGCATATGTACTACAGCGTCTCCAGCGCTTTCGAGCGGTCTCTCATTCCCCTGATAGGTGGAGAGTTGCCCATATAGGCGGAGCACCCCTTTTCTGACGTCAGAAAAATTCAAATAATAATCAGCTCCGTTGCAGCCCCGTTTTTAGAGATTTGGGTATGGAGGAAAATAGAGAGGGTTGTGTTTTCTGACACTTGGTGAATTCCCTGACACACCGGGGACACATATTCATGTATAAAAGACATACAAAAGTGCATTTTGCATGATAGGACCCCTTTAAGGGAGAAACGTACACAAATAATTTTAGCACATTTAACTGGATATAACTTAGTGTGTGTGTGTTATGGCGCGTTTCCACTGCAGCGGGGTAGCCCCGTTTAAGCGTCCCTAAGCGTCCTCGCTCTGGCCTCGGGCTGCCTCGCTGGCCGGCCCAGGCCGTGGTGCATTTCCATTACAGTTTAGGACCTGGGGTAGCAACGCAGTGTAGGCGGGGCGATCGGCTTTGTTTTTGTTCACATTTCGAGTTGTTCCGTCGAGCTCCCGCTGGATTTGATCATCTCCAATGAGATGTAGGAACGTCGTCACCTCCTCGGTCGACCACGGTGTGCTTTTCTTATTAGACATAGCCATTTTCGTAGCTCATCCGTTTACAAAATGCTGTTTATAAAAATGCTGCAAGCTTGCTTCTAAATATATATGCGACGCTAGGGATGAACTCGCGCGCGATTTTGTGACGATTCTCTCTGACCAATCAGCAGTCGAGAGTGTTGACATCACTAGTTCAGCCCTGGCCCTGGTCTGAGGGAACCACGATTTTATGAGGCCAGAAAAAGAGGGAAAAAGTACCCGCTGGCCGGTACTAGGCTATATGGAAACGCCACCAAAAACCGGCCTGGCCGCTTGAGGACGGTTAAGGACGCTTAAACGGGGCTACCCGCTGCAGTGGAAACGCGCCATTAGTGGGTGTGTGTATCCTCTTTATTGGACCTTTGAACTTATCAAATAACTTACTCAATCACTTTTAGCTAATGCTCACTAAACCTCTTTTAGTCTTTAACAAATAAACGGTATACAACTTTGTTGTGGCTCCACATTTCACACAGTATTCCCAGTGTGTGTGAGTGTGTTATAGCCTTAGTTTTTAAGCTTTAATTAATTTAATTAACTTTATCCCATGCACATGTCTACCTTTTTTTTTACATTTGACCATGTCATGTAACTTTTGTAATGTACGGGTCTGGCAACATTGTATTTATTGGTTGTGTTAAGCACTTTAATCTGCATGCTTGTATCAGAACTAGTTTTAAACTTATCATACAGTTTGTGTGTGTGTGTGTGTGTGTGTGTGTGTGTGTGTGTGTGTGTGTGTGTGTGTGTGTGTGGACTGGTTTACATGACATTGTGAGGCCATATGGCTGCTCACTAAATTGTGGGGACCTACCTTCCGTCTTTGGGGCTTTTTATTACTTCTCTAAGGCTTTAAATTGCAATGTGTTGCATGCTAACCGACTAGCCTCGGCCCGCCCTGTAATACCTCTTTCTCCTCTGGAGGCGATAGGAGTGTGTTGATAGGAGAGTCACTGTAGCGTTCTCAGACCAGATACATCATCACTAGGAGAGAGATAGATAGCTATTTTACAACACACAATATGTGACTTGCTCTATCGAAATCAGTCGCATTGACCCGAAGACACATTTTGAGTTGTATACACTGCTGGAAAGAGGAGATTCCTAGCTTTCTAATGATATCAGGATTGTTTTTGTACTCCAAATATTAAGCAAAATATGTCACATTATATAATGACTGTCACCGAGTCATCATTTTGAGAAAAAGGCCTTCAAAGTTTCCTCTTCTCTGGAATCCATCGATCTGATTGATTATTAGCGGAGCAAATGATCAAAATAGTACGGAG